TGAGCACTTACAGACAATAAAGCCTTCCAAACAGCATCGTCAATGCTCATGGAAACATACCTGCAAAAGAAAGAAAAAAAAACAGAAGAAAAATCTGTCAGGCAATATTCACTACTGTTCTCTCATTTTATTGCCATTTCTTCCAGGAGTTTTCATGCCTAGGTTTAAAGATTTGGTTTTTCTTCTTTTTCTTTTGAACATAGTCGCCAAGTAGAGTACGGGCTCTATTAGAGATATCTTTATCTCTTAGTAGACTACCTCGAGAGTTTTCTTCTATGTTATTTCAAAGTCTTCGGGCACATGAGCAAATACGATAACTGTGACATTCAGATCCATTCCTGTGCCTCTTTCTGACGAGCTATTTAAAGACCAAGTTTCCCTCACATACCGGTGAGCTTAGTAGAAATGAAATAATACCGTAGGAACTTTAATCTTGTGAGAGCGGGCATCAGGTTGCTTTTATTATAGTTTGTTCCTTAAAAAATTAGAGCTCCAGTCTGCTGGACCCCAAACACACATCAGCCACTTTAACACACGCTTCAGATAGATTATTGACTCATTGCTCCCAGCAACTGATACTTATTTTGTAGATGATCAAACTGAAACTGAGCTGACATAACTTGGTTAAGGTCTCATAACTAGAGAGTGGCTGAACCAGGAGCCACATTTAGTTTCTGTGAGTTGTGAGTCTTTGTTAACTACCAGGTAGTATGGTCTGTCTGCATGGCCAATAACAGAAAATGAACTGAAGTTCACGTAGGCATAAAGGTCGGATGTAACTAAAGCCCACACAGATCTTGCAAGCTTCAGGTAGGGCAGGATCCAGGTGTCCACCGAGGTTCCCTCTTGCCTCCCTTGCTCTTGTCCTGTGTTGCCATCACCTACAGTTAGGTTCTCCAGATGGCAGTCTCCAGTGGCTATCACAGGGGGTGACTTCAGTGCCCATAGAACTTTCTATTCCAGAACGTCCAGTGGAAGTTCAGTGGTACGATCTCACTGGCTTATTTTTCCTATGTGGCCATCCCTGACCCAATTACAGCTGTGGGGGTGGACATTTCTGGTTGCTCAGTCTCAGTCACAGTCGGTGGGGCCTGAGGGTGTGGTAGATTTCAGTCCTGTCCGAATTTCATGGACCGAGAGGGGTTGGTGTTCTCTGAAGGAAAGGTATCAAAGAAAGGTATCAAAAGAAGGCAAAATGGGTGCTGGGCAGGCAAAACCAAGCGCTGTCCTCCACACTGAGTTTCTCTTTAAGGCGTTATTTTTTCCCCCAATCTGCCTCCAGAAGAGCGAACACTTTGCCATGTGGTGTTACCTCCCAAGAACACTTCACTTATGTCTTAGAAAAATAAATACACAGCCAATTTGCAGATTATACCTTCCTTAGTTCTGCTATAAATTATATGACTTGTTCTTGGCAAAGCTGGAAGTTGAAGCGGGCATTTTCTCCTCGCCCTCACCAACTCGAAGAATGAGTGGCATTCACTAGAGTGTGTGTCCGGGGATGAATTTGCCCATCGGAAGGGGATAGTTAAATTTATGGGAAGACTCACACCTTTGCAGACGGTTCCAAGCATTAGCGACAGGGTGAGGAGCCTATAGGCAAGCAGGAGATATTTTTCCTGCTGAAACTGGGCCAAACCTTAATTTACAGTATTTAAAAAATTCATGAATCTGGAGGAAACCCATTATGGTCACCTTAGTCACATTAGAATTCCCCAATTTTTTCAGCATGTCCCAGGTGGTTTGAGAAGACCAAAATGTGTAGAATTCTAGCTGCAGGAAAAGACAAAACCAGAAATCCAAAAGCCTGGGTTCTAGGCTCAACTTGGACCCTCATCAGCAGGGAGGTCTCGGACTGGTCCCTTCGTGCCCCTCACTCTTGATTTCCTCCTCTATAAATGTAGGATTTGGTTTATATGGGTTATTAAATGCTGGGGGACCCGGGAAGTCCCAGTCAGATATCCATCAGAAACACAATGCATGGGCCATTGGAACTGTTCCTGAGGCTCAGTCCTTTCAATATCGTTATTCCAGATCTTTTAGGGGTTTCTAATCCTGGCTATATAGTTCTCCTGCTTGGCACTAAGTCCTTCTCTACCTAAGTGTGCTGTAGGGACAGATTGGCTTCACCAGCAAGGAAATCTGGTTGATTTTATTTTGAGAACTTTTAGGTTTTAAGACATCACTTGGTAGAACCGAAGGCATCTCCACATCTAGAAATTATGGATTCAAATAGTTCATTAAGACACTTTGATATTAGGACTCTAGAACGCCCTGTCAAGGATGCTGGAGTTTATTTAGTTTTTAGCTGGGCCCCTATCCTGATACTTTATGATTTGGGGAGCAACGCACCAGGCTTTTCTGTTATGTCCTAAAATCAAGTATTTTTAAAAACCTCATCTATTGGGAATTTGATTGGGAGGTTCTCATATATACTCATTCATTCTCCATTTGTTGAGTGCGTATTATCCACCAGGTGCCGTGGAAGAAATGTACTGACACACATTTACATAAATGGCTCTGGCAGGCAAAAGCTCTTTTTGAAGACGAGCAGGCAAACTGGGAACTCATTTTTTTAAAGGCTGATCCAATAAAATGCAATGCCACCTATCAGTCCTAACTTTCCTGTTTCTTACAGCCTTTTATACTTGTTATTTTTTTACATTGAAATATAATTCATGTAAAATAAAATTCATGATTTTTAATGTAGGCATGTTAGCAGTTTTTCATATGTTCAGTGTGTTATGCAATCATCACCGCTGTCTTATTCCAGAACATTCCACCACCCCCCCAAAAAACCCCAAAAAACCCATATCCATTAACAGTCAGTTCTGATCCCTGTTTTCTTACCCACCCCCCTCAACCACTAGTCTACTTATTTTCTTTATGGATTTGCTTATTCTGGACATTTCATGTAACAAAATCAGACTGTATATGGCCTGTTGTGTCTGGCTGCTTTCGCATGGTCCATCCATCCACATTGTGGTGTGAATCAGACTTCATCTCCTTACACTGCCGAGTGATGTTCTGGTGCACGGACTGACCACGTCTTCCTCATCCTCTCACCATCTGATGGGCATTTGGGTTATTTACACTTTTTGTTACAATTTTAAAAGATTTTATTTATTTATTTGGGAGAGAGAGCGCGAGTGAGCACAAGCAGGGGGAGCAGCAGAGGGAGAGGGAGAAGCAGACTCCCCACTGAGCAGGAAGCCCGATGCGGGACTCGATTCCAGAACCCTGGGATCCAAGCCAAAGGCAGACGCTTAACCGAATGAGCCCCCAGGCGCCCCTACCTACACCTTCTGGTTATTATCAACAATGGCTGCTATGAACATTTGTGCACAGCTTTTTGCATGAATGGACATTTCAACTCTTTTGGGTCTACATCTAGGAGGGCACTGCTGGGTTCTGTGGGGATCCTGTTTCCCTTCTAAAGGAACTGCCAGACCATTTTCCCGAAGTGGATTCACTTGGATGTTCCCTAACCATCCTGGGAGTTAGTTTTCCTCCCAGTTTCCCAGAGAGGATTCTAAGGCTGTGAGCTGACAGATGTTTCCCCAAGGCCCCAGTGTGGGGTTTATGTGTGTAGTTGGCTTTCCCCGAGCCCCCGTTCCGTCCCCGACATGGTTCCCAATGAGGGTCCACAGAGGAGTCAAATACGGGGTCCGCGTGGCGTTGGCCCTCGACTCTGCGGGAATCCTTACCCGTGGTCTTGAAGACACGTCCAGCCATGTGAGTTGGTTCAGATGGAACCGGCCCAGAATCAAAGGACAGACGGAAACAGACATGCCTCCGTTCCCGAGGAGTTTTGGGGGATGTTCCTCTACGGGAGATGCAGCTTCCTAGTCTCCACACTGCACCATCATTTCGGGTTTGATTTTCTTTTCTTTTTTTTTTTTTTTTTTAAGATTTTATTTATTTGACAGAGACAGATCACAAGTAAGCAGAGAGGCAGGCAGAGAGAGAGAGAGAGGAGGAAGCAGGCTCCCTACCTAGCAGAGAGCCCAATGCGTGGCTCGATCCCAGGACCCTGAGATCATGACATGAGCCGAAGGCAGAGGCTTAACCCACTGATCCACCCAGGCAGCCCTCGGGTTTGATTTTCTTTTTCTTTTTTTTTTTTTTAATTAATTTATTTATTTGACAGAGACAGATCACAAGTAGACAGAGCAGCAGGCAGAGAGAGAGAGAGGGAAGCAGGCTCCCCGCTGAGCAGAGAGCCTGATGTGGGATTCGATCCCAGGACCCTGGGATCATGACCTGAGCCGAAGGCAGTGGCTTAACCCACTGAGCCACCCAGGTGCCCGGGTTTGATTTTCTTAAAGGAGAGAATGTGTAAGCAGCTGGCATTGGCCGTGTCTCTGAAATGAATGATTTTATAGTGAAATCATGTCATCATAGGAGTTTGGGACTATGTTGAGAAAGAATAACAATCCTGAACGTATCTATTATTCTTCCCCTTTTCCCGCACTGGTGTGTGTGTGTGTGTGTGTGTGTGTGTGTGTGTGTGTGTTACCGCATCTCCGACCACGTTCCCGTGGGCTGGGCCGGGCGAGTGCATGCTCTTCCCCTTCCAGGGACAGTAACCGCACCTCGGGGAGGTGGAGTGATCGGCTCTGGGTCACATGGGAGAGCCAGAAGAAGCCTTTCCCAAATACTGTCCCTTGGATTGGTGCCTAGACAGGACAGAGTTTCCACAAAGGCACGAGGAAATGAGACGAGGAAGGGCAAGGTAGTGAGGTTTTCACATCACTAAACTTATTCCATTTTAAGAACTGTCTTTTATTCCAAAATTAAGTACCTCTTATTGTGATGTTGGTAAACTCTCTCTCTCTCTCTTTTTGTTTTTGCTATTCAATGAAATCTGCCTGAGCGGGGTCAGGCTGGCTTCCAGCCTTTCTGATTAATCATGTTGTTGTTTTTCCCCTGAGCGCCTCATCCTGGGTAAAGTAAGAAAGATACCTTCCTACAGATCTTGCCATTTTTCCCACATGCAGGTGTCCCATGCAATTTTGGTATCTGGCCTCCCGGTTTTCTGCTGCATTTCTGGGATTCACAAACTGGCGGGCTCACCACGCAGGCAGAAATGACTTGTTCGGTCTTCTGGTTTCTAATTGTGAGTAAATACGTCTCACTGTTGGATTTGCTAATTATTGTGATTTTTCGGGGTGTGGGATGGGGGGAAGAGGTTGGACCTGATGTTTCTAGCAAACTGTCATGGGCTATATTTGAAGGGCTGTAACAAGGACTCATTTTCTGCCTGATTCTCCATCTGGTGCAAAGCAAGGCTCAACCCAGACAGGTTAATTAACTTGCCCACATCCCATTCCAGTGAGAGGAACTGGAAGTGGAGAGCCTTCTATTCTAAATATTACTCATCAACTTTAAGCTGTAATCGTGGGAACAACATGCAAGTTACCAGTGGAAAAATCCACTCGACTTTCTGGAAACCCTGAGCAAAAAGACACGGCAGGATCAGAGCAATGTCAAGTCGCTGAGTGCCAGCTGGCCCTCCCCTAAAGCAGCCTTCCCCCAACTTTTCCAACTAGAATCCACCCTGCTCCCCTTGCCGCTTTTCCCTGCTGCCTTTGGGATCTCTTGAGAAGAGTTAATCTTCTCTAGAAGGTGGTGTTTCATGTGTCTTCCAGCTACTTCTCATTCCCTTCTCCTCTATAGGTAACCATGTTCTCATGCCCACTTTACAGATGGAAAGCCCAAGGCACAGAGACGTTAAGACACTCACCCAAAGTCACACAGGGCTGGGGTCTGTACCTCAATCTGGCTCTGAGGCCTCTGTGCTGTGCTGCCCCCTCTGGTTCCGTGGCTTTCCTCCTTTTACCTACATAGTGTATTTCTTTACCTAAGTGAAGTCAGTCACCTAAGCTATATAATACACTGGAATTTTCCAGTGTACTTGGCTTTCGCTGGGGAGACCATTGCAAATGTCCTGGAAAGACCACGGGCTCTGGAGTCAAACAGCTGCACTCACTTGTTTCTGCAGACATTTCCTAGCAGTGTGACCTTGACTGGTCAGTGAGTAGAGACAGCCTCAACCGACTCATCTGTGTGATTGAGAGAATGCCGTGACGTGTCCTGCCAAGGAGTCCGTCTGAGAGTGTGAGCTCTGGCTCAGGATGGCCTGGGGCACCCTCTCTGGGGTCAACAGGTGCATGCCCGTTTGCCTCCCTTTGTCCCCTCTTCCGCCCTCCTTTCTCCTACTGAAATGCTCACATAGGCTTGGTGTTTTCTCCTGACTCCCACCACCTGCTTCTTTGCTGGAAGAGGGCAAGGACGCATCCCCCGAGAGGTCCATGGCATGGAGTGATACATTCAGAAGGGGTGCGAGTGTCAAATGGCGTGCTTTCTCATGGGAAATTAGAAATGCCACCAGAGAGAGAGAGAGAGAGAGAGAGAGAGAGAGATTCAGTCTATGGAACCCTGAATTGTCCCCCATGAGCATTTGCACCACGCGGACGTGAGAAATGGAGTTGACGGGATGGGCGTGGAACACGAGTCCCATTCCTCACATGTTGACTGATCAGGAGGAGGCCTGCGGGCTGGGGAGGCCACCCCTGTGGTGTGGGCTCACCGCCCAGGGAGTCCAGGTCTGCCCGCTGCCCGTCTATCCAGAGCCCTCCCCAGAAAACCTGAGGAATTTACCAAACTCAACCAGATGTTCTTGCTTCTCCTCTTTTGTTTTGAGAAATGACTATGGGTCATAATTCTTCCTGTTACTAAGACTACATCATAGGCGGAGATGGCCTGGTATGCTCTATGCCTATAGATCCTTCTGTCCCCTGGGCCAACATGAGTATGTTTAACGGAAAAACCAAGGTGCTGATGTGGAATGCCCAGCATTGAAAAAAGGCTTTCATCCTTTCATCCAAAGGACAAAACAACAGTATTAAAGACAATTTTGAGAATAGGTTTAAAAAATCAGCCACGATTCTGCCAGCTTAAATTTCTATGATTATTTGCGTGCATTAGATTTTAACCTTCTCCCCCAACTGCAGACATTCTGCACGAGCAGAAGCATAGTGGGGGAAACTAGGTGTGTCTGGGGCCTAGATTTTGCAGCCGTGTTCTTGGTAATTGTCACTTTAATGGCTTTGGTGGGAGAGGGGAGCATAGGCTCCTCTTGGGAATGAAGAGAGTGACTCCTGGGCACAATGACAGTGATGTGACATCATGTGCTAACCCATGTCCCTGCTGGTGAGTCTTGCCAGTTTTGTGCAATTCTAGGTGGTGCTGGCAAGCAGCTAGGAACAGCTTAGAGCCACAAGACACCGAGACCTAAGTCTAGTATCTTTAACACACGAAAAGAACAAAATGAAGCCAAAGGTGGGCTGCTCAGAGCTGGTGTGTTGTCACACGGAGACCTCAGTGGCCTGGGCTGTTCTTGTTTTTCTGCTTTGCCATCCTTCCCGCCTTGCTTCCAAGTTCAAGGTTACAAGATGCCTGGTACACTGAGGCCCCAGGGTCTGCATTCCAGGTGAGAGGTGGGAAGAAGAGAGCAAGGCACTTCCCCACTTCTGCTGTCTGTTCTGTTTTGTTTCTTTTTTTAAAAGAAACACTATTTATTTGAGAGAGAGAGTGAGCCCACACAAGCGGGGGAGGGGCAGACGGGCAGAGGGAGAAGCAGACTCCCCACTGAATAGGGAGGCTGACATGGGGCTCCCTCCTAGGACCCCAAGATCACGCTCTGAGCGGAAAGCAGGTGGGCTGAGCCACCCAGGGGCTCCTGTCTATTCCCTTTTAAAGAGTCTCCCCAGAAGTTCAGTGTCAGAGCCCCTCAGCTGTGTGACCTTGGGCAAATTAGACAGACTCTCTGAGGCTCATTTCCTCATCTGTAAGCTGACAGCAGCAGCTCCCGACTCCCCGCGTGAGTGGGAGAGAACGCGCAGATCCAGCCCTGGCGGGGATGGGAGGATAGTGTGAAAATCGCGCTTGCAGTCGGGTGCGGGCCGCACGAGCTTGGTGTTCCTGCTACAGAAGATCGTGGCCCGAGAATGCAGAACCACCCCCTTTCCCCGTCCCGAAGTGCTGCTGGGAGGCATGGAAAGCGGAACTGGACCCTGTAAGGTTCATGTCAAAAGGAAGTTCGGGAACGGCGAGATTCTGGCCGGCGCTGGGAGCCATCCAGTCTGTCACCCTCTAGGCCTTAGCTGTCTGGGAGGGAGAACTCGTGTTGCGAAAATGGGCCACCGCTAAACTCAGGCTGGAAAATCCTAATGCAGGCAGTTCCTCAAAAACTCAGGGGCTTCCAGGCCAGTGGACAACCCCCCGCCTGTGGATGGAATGGTCCAGAACTCAGTAATCAAAATAGTAAATCACATGAACACTGAGGCCGGGTCCCTATCTGTTTACCTCTGCATTCCAGTGCCTCACACCTGGAGGCGCCTGAGCAAAGATCTATTTATTAATTCTAGCCCCTAAGACCTAGGGCCAGTCTCCCGTGTATCCTCCTGTGTGTCTATGTCCCAGATATGCTGCTCAGCCCCCACGGGCGCCTGGAGCAAAGAAGGACTGCCCTTGTTTGAGGCACACATTTCAACAAAGGTAGTTACGGTGGGATTACAGGTAACCTGAGCACTCACTCTGTGCAGGCCCTTAGTACTCTCCACGACTTTGCTCATTTAATCTCCCTGTAGTAGCGGGTATTGTAGAAGAAGAAACAGAAGCTCAGAGAGGGTGAGTGATTTGCCCAAGGTCACAAAGCTATAGGGAAAGGCAGAAACTGGCCCAGGGTTACTAAATCGGGACATAGATTTTTTTCCTGGAAAATCACTGTGAAATCCTGCAAATGGATTGTTAAGCATCCTTTAGGGAACTTTATTTCAGCTGATTCACTGATTCTTAAATGGCACACTGTAGGCAAATGATTTAGCATCTTCAATTCTCGGTTTCCTCATCTGAAGAAACGGAAAATAACGGTATCTACCTCCTAGGGTTTCTGGGAGGGTGAAATGAGGTGGGTGCGTCCGCCATGCCTGGTACACCGTGAATGTTCAATGCATCTCAACCGTCATTAGTACTGCCAATTTTGTTAATTGGATGAGTAGTTCTTCATTTGTGATGGATATCACAATCATCAGTGGATGGTTCCTTTTTACAACGTAGAAGTCTAGGTCCCGAGTGGGGCATTTTGAAAAAGTTCCCCAAGTGATTCTGATTCGTATTCCCACATGACAATCACTGTCGAGTGTGGCCCCAATATCATTAAGGGACTGTTTCGTTCATGATGCCAGGCTATATGCTAAGATGCCTCCTGAAAGCAAAGGTCGTGTGAAATGAGCACATTCCCATAGGAGCTGAGAGGCAGGGGCAGTCAGGAAGTCTTCGTGGAGATGGCCATGACAGGGCTGGGCTCAAGGCTTGGCAGGGTTAGCTCTAAGATTGGTATCAGGGTGGTGATGGAGACAAGGGACAGAGGATGTCGGTGGTGACACTTGTGACTGGAAGGTAAGGTCTGTTCTGGGGGGACTTGGGAGGTGAGGCCAGGTGATTGGTTGGAGTCAGAGAGCAGAGGGGCTTGAATTCCTGACCAAGAGGGTCTGTACTCTGATTGGAGAAACAGGACCAACCACTGAGTGTTTCTAAGCCAGAGAGCCAAATGCTCAGAACTCTTCCCTCGGCAGACAGATCTGGTGCCCTCACAAATCAGAACATGAAGGACCTGCAGGCAAGAAGCACACAAGACTAGAGCCGACTCCTGCCCTGCACCTGCTAGGTCTGGAAGGATACCCATGGCCCGTCAGAGTGAAGGGACAATTACACAACCTGGAGACTCATGGTTTGGTGGGGGAGGGGTGGTGAGGGGAAGAAGAAGTGAAGATGATTTTGAGATTTGAGCCTGGGTGATGGGAAGAGCCGTGCAGTGACCAGAGAAAGGGAAGTTGGGGTATGAGCTGGGTTGGGGGTGGTAACATGACAAGTTGATGTGCTGAGTTTGAATGTCCAGGAAGTAGGTACACATATTTGGGAGTTTGGCGGAAACATGCAATTCAAAGGAGAGACTGGATCTACACACAAGCAAATGAACAAAAACAACACTGTGGGGCATTGCCTGGAGTCTCCGCAGTAGGAGAACTCTGAGGGAGGGAGAGTAGAGCAAGG